ACAGAGGATGAGATGGTTGGATGGCATCACTGACTCAATGGACATGAATTTGAGTAAACTCCGGGAGTTGGTGATGGACAGGAAGGCTTGGCGTGCTGCAGTCCATGGGGTTGCAAAGTGTCAGACATGACTGAGTGACTGAACTGAACTGAATGTACAAGCATGTTCAGAGGAGAGTGGGTGAGGTGAAGAAAGGGAGAGGAGGTCAGATTGAGTGGATGGGATCTTGTCACTGGTAGTGGCTGGAAGTATGTGGGGGTTTGGGGTGTGTAGAGACAGAGGGATCCCAGCAGAGGAGCAGGGTGAGGAAGGGCAGGTGAGGAAGGGCGAAGGAAGGGTGAGGCGTTTGCTGAAGTAGGAGACTCAGGGTGGGAGCCAGATGCGGGGGCCTCCGTGGTCATCTGGGGACTGTGGCTGGGTTTGGTGGGGGCTGCATTGAGGGCCTTTTGAACGGGAGAGTGAATAGGTGAGAGCTGTATTTAACGAGTTATGTGGCATGGTGAGTTGGGTAAATGGAACTCAGGGTCTTACAAATTAGCCTTTTCATTAGAATTCCATTCAACCCTGAGGCCTGGATTCTAAGCCCTTGTGAGAAAGAGATGGTCTCTTTTAGAGATGCTTTCCAGTTCTTATTTGTAGCCAGGCACCAAGCACCACTCTATGCTACTGCCCAGCAGAGACTGGTTTTAACCAAGACAAAGAAGACAGAGCGGTCTTTCTTGACCACAGCGGCTCAGAGCTGCATCTCCTGTTAGTTTTCAGAGTATTCAGTGGGCTGCTCTGGATGCCCCGGCCAGCCCTGAGGTATCCCTCCGCCACAGAAACTGGCCGGGAGTTTCACTACTCCACGAAGGGGCTCGGGTCCCTAAGGGCAGCCAAGCCCCCTCCCCGGAAAGGAAGTGAGGGCGGGGCCAGCTGAGCTCCCGCCCCTCTGTGTTGCCTTGGAGACCAAGTGTGTTTTCGTCGCAGTTGAGGTAGGACTCGGCCCGGCTGGCTGGAGTGCTACTTTCTGCCGGAGTGGCCGCAGCCGGGCGCCTGAACCCAGGGCCTCGCTGCAGGCGGGGCTGAGAGGGCCTGTCCTGAGACCGCCGCCGCCCTGCGGCGGGCTTGGGGCAGGCGTGAGAGGAGGGCTGCGCTTCCCAGCACTCAGCAGGTGCGGAGGTGGCGTAGCCGGCCTCAGACAGCTCCCTCCTGACCAAGTGTCCGTTTTGGGGAGGGGGGTGCGGCGGCGGAGGTCCTCGGACGGCTTCCAGCGCCAGTCAGGAGTTCAAGGCCAGGCTGAAATCTGCGTTGACTCTTCCCCGCAGAGTTTGAAAGAGTGAAGTACAAAATAGTAACCGTCATTCTCTGCCCTCAGCGTCAACCTCGAATTTGCGCCGGGCGCGTGGCTGGGAGACCAGCCTTCTAGGTGAGTTCCAGTTAGGTTCCTGCCTCAGGGTTGCTTCCTTTTTGCTTCTTCGCACCCCTCCCTCCTCCCCCATCTCCGATTCTTCTTTTAAAGTATCAACCCTGAGGCCTGAGAGGGGCTCTGGTGCTTTCTGCTAGAGCTGGGGCGCCTCAGCCCGGGTGGACTCGCCCAGCCCGTCTGTCTGTCTGGAGACACTTGTCCTCCAGGGAGGACTTTTCCTTGCAGGCGGGCGGAGAGGCTTCTCGGTATCCGCCTGGTCTGAGACCAACCCGTAGACGACGGCTTCCCTGCAGGGGTGTCCCGCTCGAGGCCAAGATGTCTTCCGTGGGGAAGGTGACCCAGATTCCCAGCGGGAAGGTCTACCAGCAGATCTTCGAGGCTGAGGTAGGCCTGTCCTAGTCCCCGTTTCCCTGGCCCCTGCTTTCCTCAGCTTCCCGGGAACTTCCCTCCCTCAGAGGACTTCCTTGCCTGGGAACCTAATGAAATAAGGGCTTTGAAATTGTGTTGATGAAAAATAATTATTATTGTTTCCTAAAATGTAGGAATACAAAATTAGAATGTCTGTTCCTGAAAATTGTGAAATCTATATTAAAATTTAATTTAAATTACTCAGAAATAGCCAAAATTAACCTTTGGGTGTCCTGGATCTTTTTTCTATGCATGAAAGCATCTCTAATTTTTCTGTTTAAAAAGTGAGTATGATTCTACAGTAGTGCCTTAAAACCTCCTTTTTCCCTGTTTACAGTATCTCAGAGAGCTTTCTGTGTCGGTGCAAATTCACGTACTTCACAATGTTTAGTGGCTGCCTAGTTTTTGATATAGGACTTCCTGTAATTTATTAAAGTAATGCCCTCTTGGTAATTATATAAGTTGTTGGCATTGCCTTGTCGTCTATAAAAAACTGCACAGATGACATCTTAAACACATACTCAAACCCTTCTTTTGAAGTTCTGTACTGCTTATTTAAAGGGGATTTTTATTCCTACTTTGAGTCCCAAGTAATGCTCTTTGTGGAGGGCTTGGAAATTATAATAGTATAAAGAGACTGTAGAAATTGCTCACATGATCCTGCTCCCTGGAGGCAACCATTCTTAACCTTTGGCATATTTTCTCCTTATTGTTTCTCCATGTGTTTAACATTTTGAAATCATAATGTATAATTTTCATCATAATTTTCTTTTATGCTCTTAATTACTAGGTTTTGTTGTATATCATATCATAAGCATTTCCTCATGTCGTAAAAAATCCTTTGTAAGTCTCATGTTTAATAAATTCCTAACATTCCATTGAACGGAGATACTGGGTTTACTTAACCAATCCCCTATTGTTGGACAGTTCCATTTTTCCAATTCTTTGTGATTATAAAAAATGATGGGATGCACATCTTGGTTCTCATTAAAATTTCTTAAAAGATGCCCTCCCAGAAGTGTCTGAATGACCAATTTGGGGAATAGAGAGCCCTCCTTCATGGGGTATGCCCTCAGGTTGAGGGCCTCCCTCAACCTGCCTTCTTGCTGGCAGGCTCACACTTGACCTTCTAAGGTGGCACAGGCAGCCTCGGTGCTCAGAAGTCTTCAGTTCCAGCTGCCTTCACCTGGTTTCCCCCATCTCCGATTCTTCTTTTAAAGTATCAACCCTGAGGCCTGAGAGGGGCTCTGGTGCTTTCTGCTAGAGCTGGGGCGCCTCAGCCCGGGTGGACTCGCCCAGCCCGTCTGTCTGTCTGGAGACACTTGTCCTCCAGGGAGGACTTTTCCTTGCAGGCGGGCGGAGAGGCTTCTCGGTATCCGCCTGGTCTGAGACCAACCCGTAGACGACGGCTTCCCTGCAGGGGTGTCCCGCTCGAGGCCAAGATGTCTTCCGTGGGGAAGGTGACCCAGATTCCCAGCGGGAAGGTCTACCAGCAGATCTTCGAGGCTGAGGTAGGCCTGTCCTAGTCCCCGTTTCCCTGGCCCCTGCTTCCCTCAGCTTCCCGGGAACTTCCCTCCCTCAGAGGACTTCCTTGCCTGGGAACCTAATGAAATAAGGGCTTTGAAATTGTGTTGATGAAAAATAATTATTATTGTTTCCTAAAATGTAGGAATACAAAATTAGAATGTCTGTTCCTGAAAATTGTGAAATCTATATTAAAATTTAATTTAAATTACTCAGAAATAGCCAAAATTAACCTTTGGGTGTCCTGGATCTTTTTTCTATGCATGAAAGCATCTCTAATTTTTCTGTTTAAAAAGTGAGTATGATTCTACAGTAGTGCCTTAAAACCTCCTTTTTCCCTGTTTACAGTATCTCAGAGAGCTTTCTGTGTCGGTGCAAATTCACGTACTTCACAATGTTTAGTGGCTGCCTAGTTTTTGATATAGGACTTCCTGTAATTTATTAAAGTAATGCCCTCTTGGTAATTATATAAGTTGTTGGCATTGCCTTGTCGTCTATAAAAAACTGCACAGATGACATCTTAAACACATACTCAAACCCTTCTTTTGAAGTTCTGTACTGCTTATTTAAAGGGGATTTTTATTCCTACTTTGAGTCCCAAGTAATGCTCTTTGTGGAGGGCTTGGAAATTATAATAGTATAAAGAGACTGTAGAAATTGCTCACATGATCCTGCTCCCTGGAGGCAACCATTCTTAACCTTTGGCATATTTTCTCCTTATTGTTTCTCCATGTGTTTAACATTTTGAAATCATAATGTATAATTTTCATCATAATTTTCTTTTATGCTCTTAATTACTAGGTTTTGTTGTATATCATATCATAAGCATTTCCTCATGTCGTAAAAAATCCTTTGTAAGTCTCATGTTTAATAAATTCCTAACATTCCATTGAACGGAGATACTGGGTTTACTTAACCAATCCCCTATTGTTGGACAGTTCCATTTTTCCAATTCTTTGTGATTATAAAAAATGATGGGATGCACATCTTGGTTCTCATTAAAATTTCTTAAAAGATGCCCTCCCAGAAGTGTCTGAATGACCAATTTGGGGAATAGAGAGCCCTCCTTCATGGGGTATGCCCTCAGGTTGAGGGCCTCCCTCAACCTGCCTTCTTGCTGGCAGGCTCACACTTGACCTTCTAAGGTGGCACAGGCAGCCTCGGTGCTCAGAAGTCTTCAGTTCCAGCTGCCTTCACCTGGTTCTTCCATGGATTCAGGTGCAGCTGGTCCGCTCCCTGGCATCCTCTAGGAAGCGAGCAGTGGAGCGTTCCATGATCCCAAAGGATGGCAAGAAGCCCTTGATGAAGAAGGTGGATATTCGTGAAGGCGAGATGGTGTCTCCTCGACAGCAGAAGTGGATGCGCACCCTACCCAATGACTGGACCACAGAAAACCCTGTTCTCTACAGGTGGGTCCTGCTTTCCAGGCCACAACCCCACACACCAGGCGTGGTTAGGATTTTCAAAAACGCAGGAAGAGCTCCCACAAGATGAGTACTGGATGGGGATGAAATCCCAGGTACCTCCTCTGAGAGGTGGAAATAATAATGATGTCTACTTTGCAGGACTGTTTGCTTTGCCTTCTCTCCCTCCTTTGATAGGCAGCAGGTATGCAGATCCCAGCCTCCTGGAACTTGAACTCAACAGTAAATAAATAAGCAGGTCTCCCCAAAGATGGAAAGGTTCTGACACTGAGGACAGGGTGGTGGGGGACAGGAGTCAGGAGACCTCCACTGAGGCCAGGGATGAGAGCAGGGAAGCACAGGGCGAAGCTCGGAGGCAGTACCAGTTTGATCTTCTCCAGAAGACTGAAGAAATCAGCGGGCCTGGGGAGGGGAGTGGGAGATGAGGCTAGGAGAGGCTTGTCGGCCACAGGCAGTCTTTCGAACTTCACTGGAGTGACTAGAGTGAGCAGTGATTTGCGTTTTTGTTTTTTGTTTAAATGGGTACAGGGTTTCTTTTATTATTTTTTAATTAATTTATTTTCATTGGAAGAATTACTTTACAATACTGTGATGGTTTTTTCCATACATCATCATGAATCGGCCACAGGTTTACATGTGTCCCCCCATCCTGAACCCCCCTCCCGCCTCCCTTTCCCTCCCCACCCTTCCCCTCAGGGTTGTTGTTGTTTTTTTTTTTCCCCTTTAACCTTGTTGGAGCAGGGACTGACCCACTGCTGGGTGAAGGTCTCTCCCCTGCCCTGACCTTCGAGTCTCCCCAGGCAAAGTTCCCCTACAGCTCCTGAGACTCAGCACCCTGAACTGTTGGGCAAACCCCTTAGCCGCCCAGGCACGGGCAGGAGGTCAGCACTCTCCAGCCTGTGTCCCTGACGCTCAATGCAAGGATCCAGAGGCACGGACAACTGGGACCTGACCATGATCCCCCATCTCCCAGGGGGACAGTCTCACAGCCTGACTGTAACTCTGGATCCTTTAAAGGACAGGCTCCTCTCCGCTGACCTGTTCTCTATTAGTTCCAGGGTCTCCTGAAGTCTCCCTATGCTTCCCGAGGATCCCCTTTTCCCCTGAGTTTAGGCTTGAACCACCCATCATCCCCGTAAGTGGATATGACATCAGTTAGGAGCTCTTGGCACCCACAGGACGGTATTTGGGGAAAGGCACTGCTCATGGAGGGCGCTGGCATTGTGCCGGCTTCCTGGTGCAGACTAGGTCCACTCTGCCGTGGATATGAATCCAGAGCACAGCTCCCTGCCCAAGAAGAAAGATGTGTTTATAACCAACCAGGCCCTGCTACCCTCAAAGTGACTGAGGTCACTAACTCAGCATCAGCACCTTTCTGAGGGCCTTGTCCTCTTCTTGAAAATTCAGCTAGCTAAACCAGTCAACTTGTGCATTCATTCACCCAGGACAGGACATCTGGGTAAGTGGAAGAGGAACTCGGGGTACGGGTAGATCACCACTAGCATAAATCAAGCCCCCAGGTTCTCGGGGCAAGTGACCGAAAAGCCAGAGCCGTAAGCAGCTCCCATAGTCGGGGTACCCCAGCTCCAGCACGGCTGCCTTGGTCCAGGGGCACTTGGTTGACAAAGTTGAGAGATTCGCCCCTGGAGGGTGAGCCTGGGCCCCATCAGTTGCCGCCCTGCAGTCTCTCTTGGCAGTAGGTGTCCATGAGGACTACATCAGACAGTGTCTGGAAAGTGCTTCACATGTCGGGGCCCCCAGGCACAGCAGGTGTTGCTGAGAACTGCGTTTCTGGGCACTTGTCCTGTGGACCGCACATTCCAGGATTTTCATTCCAAAGCTGAGTTGTGCTCACCCAGCCTGGTCCTCCCTGCTGAGACAGTTTGTCCTGGGATCCCAGCTTCCTCCTCCCTCACCCAAACTCTGTGGACCATGGACCTGGGCGTCCCAGGGCCAGTTTGTCCAGGGACTTCCCTCCCGCATTCCCCACCCTGGACAATGGGGTCACCCCAGGTGCCGCATCTGATGGGTTGCTGAAGAAGCAGATGAGGGCCTGCTGAACGCTGAGCCTCAGTCCGGCCTTCCCAGGCTGGCTGAGCCCCCAGTGGCCCCCAGTTTCTATGTGCGGAAGACGGCTCATGCTCACCACCCACACTTGGTGTGTGGCCAGGATGGAGCAGGCCCCTCTTCTCATCTGAGGACTGTGCTGTGTCTGCTGGCCGCAGATACCCTGGCAGTGTCTGGGGGCACGTCCTCCGGGCATTCTGGAATTGGGTGGCCCCAGGCCATTGCCAATTCCCAGGGTCTCTGTGGACACCGATAGCTACCCTGATGGGGGGCAGTGAGGAGGCTGCGGGGGTTAGTATTTTCCTCTGCTTATGCCTCAGGGAAAAGGAAATAGCCAAAAAGGAAAGAGCTCAAGAGAGTGAGAACACCATCGCTGCCAGAGAAGTCCGGGGCCTCATGGACACCATTGGTGAGCCTGTGTTCAGCTGTGAGGGCTGGCGTGGCCTGGGCCAGACAGTGCTCCGTGGGGAGCACCTGGAAAGTCTAATGTGGAAGCCCCTGCAGGGCCCACTGTTCCTCTGCTCAGCCTCATAGGACGCATCCGCCTGGACCCTCTCCCCTGGATCTTCCCCCGAACCTCCTGCCCTCAGCCTTGCCCCCTGAAACTCTTCCCCTCAGCCTTGTCCTCTGGGTCTTTCCCCTGAACCCTTGTCCCCCTTTCTCCTGGGCCTTCTCCTCATGCAGGGAGCTGAGGGAGGAAGGGGGCCGCCTGCAGTCAGCACTGACTGATGAGACCGATTGGTGAAGGGTGTACTGTAGCTCGATTTTCTGTGCTTTCACGAAAGGATCTTTCAGCTGACATCGCCTTCCTTCACACCTTCACACACACACTGTGCTTCCCGGTGGCTCAGACGGTAAAGCGTCTGCCTGCAATGCAGGAGACCCGGGTTTGATCCCTGGGTCAGGAAGATCCCCTGGAGGAGGGAATGGCAATCCACTCCAGTACTCTTGCCTGGAAAACTCCATGGACAGAGGAACCTAGTGGGCCACAGTCCACGGGGTTGCAGAGAGTCAGACACGACTGAGTGACTTCATTATTCCCTTCTTTCTTTTCCTTCACATCACATTGCCCTAGTTTGACTTTATCCTGATATGGAAGCTGTTTTTCCTTGTGATTAAAAAAGTAGTACTTGCTCAATGTAGAAAAACAGAGGAAAGAGATGAAGCAGAAAGTGAAAAGTCCACCTCCACAGTAGCACGCATTCTCTTCCCAAGAGTGCCCGCTACCCAAGAGACCACATAGTGTCCAGGGTCCCACATGTACTCAGGGGACAGCAGGGCAGAGGGTAATCGAACCCGCCTCTCAGCTTCATCCCAAGGAGTAATTGAGTTAGAACAATACCTAGCTGGTAAGTGCTGGGAAGTGTCAGTAATTCTTTTTTTTTTTTAATCTTTATTTTTTTTTAATTTTTTTTCCATTTATTTTTATTAGTTGGAGGCTCATCACCTTACAACATTGCAGTGTTTTTTGTCATACATTGAAATGAATTAGCCATGGATTTACATGTATTCCCCATCCCGGTCCCCCCTCCCACTTCCCTCTCCACCCGATCCCTCTGGGTCTTCCCAGTGCACCAGGCCCGAGCACTTGTCTCATGCATCCAACCTGGGCTGGTGATCTGTTTCACCCTAGATAATATACATGTTTCGATGCTGTTCTCTTGAAACATCCCACCCTTGCCTTCTCCCACAGAGTCCACAAGTCTTCTATACATCTGAGTCTCTTTTTCTGTTTTGCATATAGGGTTATCGTTACCATCTTTCTAAATTCCATATATATGTGTTAGTATACTGTAATGGTCTTTATCTTTCTGGCTTACTTCGCTCTGTATAATGGGCTCCAGTTTCATCCATCTCATTAGAAGTGATTCAAATGAATTCTTTTTAATGGCTGAGTAATATTCCACGGTGTATATGTACCACAGCTTCCTCATCCATTCATCTGCTGATGGGCATCTAGGTTGCTTCCATGGTCAGTAATTCTTATCTGTGTCTGTATTTTCTTCTATAAAACTTTCAATTAAAACCTGGATGGCCCTATTCTATACATCCATTTGGAACATTTTTCCAGCATTCAGTTGTATATGTAATTCCCTATAGCACTTAAGGATCACCTTCTTTTTCCTTAAGACTCTGATGAGACTCTGGGGGTGGGCATCTCCTGAACCCAGGCACCTGCTGTCTTGCTGTCTTCCCCTGGTGCTCTGACCTCACCTGGAAGCTCTGAGGGCAGCCTCGTCACCTCTGTTGTTCTCTAGTTCCTGAGAGGATCAGCACCGCCACCTTTCAAAAGCACGGAGGTAACAAGAGGAGGGCCTACGAGAGTGCCCTGGCGGGCTTTAAGGAGGAGATCGCTCAGATCGGGATGGTGAGAATTCTCCCTCACCCCCTTCTGTTCCCGGGCCATTCTGACGGGAGGGCGGGCTCCGTCCAGCGCCCATGCCCCTCCCCCCAGGTCCGCAGTGGCTCGCCACGGTGTAGACGGAGTGGTGTGGACAGAATTGCCGGAGTCACGCGTGGATGGCTCATGGCAAGTGCTGATGGTGAGCACAACCCTATATGTTAGGTACTGTTACAACCCCCACTTTACAGGTGAGGCCCAGAAAGTCCTGCCTGATTTGGCACACAAGGGCCAAGTGGGAATTGGACTCTGGGTCTGATGCTTAAGCCAAGTCTTTGATCACCCTGCTCGGTCCTGCTAACAAGGGGCCAAACATCCTGCCCTTAGGCCCTACCCTTACTTGGCTCCCCATTCCTTTCCGGAGACCTTGTCTGTAACCAGACTGACCCCTGGAATATTCCGTAAAGAGACCTTTTTTGCCCTTCCGGGTCCATATCTCTAGGCCCTGAATCACACTCTCCACTTTCTGTGTGAATTCCCTGGATCCTGGGAGATGGCTGTAGACCCAAAGCACCAGGAAGGCACTCTTGCAGCCAGCTCATCACTTTTCTAATACGTCCCAACCGGACATGCGCCCTGCTCTCCATGAGCTCTGCGCCTGTGGTCACACGACCTAACTGAGCCTCAGTTTCCTCATCTGAAGTACTCTTGGAATTATTTCTTTGGCCACTTCTTTCATGAATACTTGTGGAGCTCCCACCATGGGCCAGACATAAGGTCAGCCCCTCCTTCACAGGCTGTGACGAGGACCATGTGAGTCTGAGGACGAGGGCTCACACACGATGTGTGTCCCAAAGGGTGCTGCCCTCGCGCCGTGGCTGTGCACAATGAGTAAACCTTAACCCTTTAGGTCGAGTTACGAGTCACTGTTTTTGAGAGGGGACCACAGCTGGCGCTTCCCTACCATAGGGTTGGGGAGGAGTCCTTCCTGTCCCAGGGGTGTTGATACCATCGCCCTCGCCCTCCTGGCCTGTTTTAGGAAATGGAACCTCTCATCTTGGAACCAGGAGCACTTCTTTTAAAAAAGCTGGCTGAGTCTGAAGAGGATGTCAACAATCTCTTCAAAAAGGTGGAAAACGACAGCAACCTCGAAGACTACACCATCCAAGTAGGCGTCCCCCTCGTGGTGGGGCCTGCCCCGCCTGTGGCCCGCTCCTGCTCCTCCTTCCCTCTGTCCCACCCGGTCTCGCAGTCCAACCCAAGCTTCTCTGCACAGGCCCTGTTGGAGCTGAGGGATCAGGTGGCCCAGAAGTTCCTGCTGCAGAAGCGGGAGATCACGGAGCTGGATGAGACACTGCACTCACTTGAGTTCTCCCGGGTAGATAAAGTGAGCTGGCCTCCAGATGGGCTCTGGTTGACTCTCACTTGTGCGATTTATGGGGCATCGCCTGCTTTCAGTCCTCTAGGAGAAGAGACTCGCTCACTGTGGTGCCTTTTCATTTCTAGCTAAAAAGCGTGTTGAAGAAATACATGGAAATCATAGAAAAAACTTCCTACCTCATGCAGCCCGACGTATATAGGCTGATCAATAAAGAAGCCATGGTGAGTGGTTTTCACATAAAGGGGATCAGCCTGCAAGAGCAGGACCACAGGATGCCCTAGAGCCTGGGTCTCAGCAGCAATGGGCTTCTCGTATGTAACATTTCCAAGTAACTCAGACTGGCCACTTGAGTTCAGAACCAGAGTCTTTGTTAAGTACTTCCAATGGAAATCCCTCTAGTACATTTTGTGCTTCCCTGCCAGGTTCGTCCCAGTGAACCTAACACAGTGTCAGCAGTCTGACCGATGCTGATTCTGCAAAGCACCTGCGGGGCTGTGTCTCAGCAGCCACGTGCAGTGCAGCGTGTGCTGCGTGACAGAAGCATGATCTCACAGCTCTCGTGGGCTCAGGGTGGTCTGTGCACTCATAAGTGACCTCTTGGGATTAAAAAGAAAAAAACACACAAGAAAATCAATGTTATTCATGACAGGATACTTCTTCTGGCTCCTCAGAGGCACATTTTCTTGTGTGGGTTTCTGCGTCTGGTGCAGAAAGCTGGGCTTGCCAGGTAACGGGCCTCCTGACAGCATGCAGAGTGGAAGGAGCACAGTATTCAGAAGCACAGATGGGTGCCAGCCCAGGCGCATGCCTCAGGGTCCTGGACAAAGCTCGGACAGGGAGGAAGCACAGACCCCCTCCTCCACCATCCAGACATGAATGTTCCCCAAAATTGCTGCACCTGGAACTCTGTGTCCGTAAAATGAGGACAGTGATACTTGGGCACCAGTACTTGTTGGGAGGGCTCCATGAGAGGGCCCAGCAGTGGCCACTCTCATTTGAGACAAGCAGGAGTTCTTGACTTTGAATTAACCATTTGCTCGACTAGGCGTGTCAGAGTTAGCAGTCTCCCAGTTGCATGTCAGTGTTTGACTTCGCTAGGCTCATCGTCCACAGAACACTGGTGCTTTCTCCTTGCTGTGTGTACATCTGTCTCTTTCAACTCCAGCAGTACCCTGTGCTGTGGAGAGCAACATCTTCACATCATGGCTACAGGTTTGGCGGTTCGGGAAATACTTGCCAATGCCCCCCAGCTAGGAACAGCTGGTGTCAAACCTCAGCTTCCGGTGGAATTTTGTGACTGGAATTTCTGCCCGCTGTGTGTAGTGGTTCTCAGCCCTGCTCCAGGGCGGTGCAGAGAGGGCTCTGGGACATATGTGGAACATTTTTGGCTGTTCCAGTCCTTGGGGACATGGGAGAGGCCACTCTCATTGAAGGGGCTGGGAAGGCTAGATGGCAGATGAGTACTACCCAGTGAAGAATCGTCTCCACTGCCATGCCAAAGGTGCCCTTGTGAGGGCACCTGGGAGGACTGCTAGAGAGTGTTGTAGCTCTGACCTCATTTGGTCGTTGGGTGCCAGTTCTCATCACAACCATGTGTGACTGGTCCCTGGTAGCATGAGCATTCTGCTGTTGAAGCAAATTTACAAAAAGAACAGGTCAACGCTGAGAGCCTGCTGAAGTGCCTAACTCTAGTGAATTTAGAATCACCTTTTTAAACAGCCTGAGATGGCCTTGGAGCTGGGTTGAAACTCACCTGGCCAGGATTCACTGTGAAGCCTTCAGGACAGACCCTTGGCACTGTCTGTAGCTGCTGAATCCCGGGCAGCTTCCTTGAGTGCCCAGTGTCCTCCCCTCCCCAGTACTCCTCAGATGCTGCCACCACCCTGCTCGGCACTCGGCCCACAGCTCACCTGGCCCCTCTCCAGCTGCCCACCACCCCTGTCCTACTGAGCCCTGTTCTGACCTTGGAGAGCCCCCGCTCCATCTAGAACCTGCCCACCTGTGACCGCAGATCATAAACCATGCCCTGCTGGGCAACCGGAGAGCCCTTGCCCAGCTGTTCGTCAACCTGATGGAGGCCAGGCTGCAGCAGGAGCTTGATAGCCACCGCCGCTGGCAGTGCCTGATGGACGCCTGGAAGGCTCTCAAGAAGGAGGGCCTGGTGCAGGCTTTCAGGTCAGCGGCTGCCTGCACTGCGGAGGCTCTCCCGTCCCCACCCCACCCCACCCCCTGCCAGCATGGGTAAGAGAGAAGAGTGCGTTCTCCCTCCGTTTGTCATTACTTTAAAATGCTGTTGCTTATTCTGATGGTAAAAGTAATAGGTGCTTTTTTTTCCCCCTTAGAGTCAAAATAGATAGAAGTGTAAGGAGAAATTAAAAGTCACCATTAATTTCTCATCACAGTGAGAAGCACAGCTGATATTTTGGTATTATTTTCTTCCAGGCTATTTTAAGACCCATACTGCATGCATAGACTTGTATCTTATTTTCTTCACACACATTTTCTCATATGTATCTTCTTGAAAGTGAAAGTGTCATTCACTCAGTCGTGTCCGACTCCTTGTGACCACATGGACTGTAGCCCACCAGGCTTCTCTGCCCATGGGATTCTCTAGGCAGGAATACTGGAGGAAGTTGTCATTGCCTTCTCCGGGGTCTTCCCGACCCGGGGATCAAACCCAGGTCTCCCGCATTGCAGGCAGATCCTTTACCATCTGAGCCACCAGGGAAGGCCAAAAGTGAAAGTGAAATTCGCTCAGTCATGTCCAGCTCTTTGTGACCCCGTGGACTATACAGTCCATGGAATCCTCCAGGCCAGAATACTGGAGTGGGTAGCCTTACCCTTCTCCAGGGGATCTTCCCAATCCAGAGATCGAACCCAGGTCCCCCGCACTGCAGGTGGATTCTTTACCAGCTGAAGCCCACTGTACAAGTGGTTTGAAAATGTTAGCATGATTACCCGCCCACTGTCCACTCTTTACTGTTATGGGGCCAAGGAGAATGGCCATCCCTCAGGCTTGGGCCGCTTCCCACCCTGTGGTAGCAAGTTTCACTCCTGGGGAGGAGGGTGAAGAGAGGGCCCAGCTCCAAGCTTCCCCCATCAGGTGGCACCCTTGTTAATACTGACGCCAAGGGTCATGGCGGTTTGGGTCAGCAAAGAAGGCTTTCTTTTGCTAAGAAAAGGGACACTTGGAACCAAGATGTCTAAGGTCACCAAAGAGTGTCTGTCTGTGCTGTAGGTGTGGTGGTGGGAGGCCCGGTGTCCACCTGCATTTCTAAACAGAGACCACCAGAGTCTGACTCTAGGATGGATGGAGAAGTGTACCAAGGTCTGACTGCCCTGTATTTACTCTGTGACCTTGGTCAAGGGCTTAAACATTCACAGGCTTTGTCTGCAGATACCATGATGGACTGGTGACAGGGTTGCAGTGATGATCAATAAGATGCTCTATGGAAAGTACCTGGTCCAGGCCTGGGCTTGGACCTGGGAGGTTAAGACATCAGTAACAATCACGGACAGCAATGGGAAGAGGTGACATTTACTGGGCATTTCCCAGGAGTGAGGCATGGTGCTAATGGTTTTGCGCACATTATCTGGTGGGGTCCTCCCAAGCACCACTTGAGGAAGGTGTTGTCGTTACCTTGACAGAAGAGGAAACCAGGTTTCAGGGCAGGGGCGACTTGCCCAAGGTCACAGGGCTGGAGGCAGTAGTCAGGACCCACACCTGAGCTGTGCCTGCTGACCCCTCTGTTCTTCCCTCCCCCACCCTCCCTCCCTCTCTTCCCCCCTTCCCTCCTTTCCTCAGTGTCCCTGAGGCCCGGATGTGGGGACGGGGTTGGAGGTGGTGTCTGGGTGCTGAATGTTCTTACTGTGGGTCTCATGCCTTCTCTCCCACCCACCCTGCCCCTCCTCTCCTGTCCATGGTGCTAATGTGTCTGGACGCCCAGTGAGTTCATGGCCAGTGAGAAGATCCAGACTCCTCCGGCTGTGAAGAAAGAGCTTGAGACCATGATGAAGGACCAGAGCATCCTGCAGCAGAAGCGCCTGGGCCACCTGTGCACCATCTGGTACGGCAGGAGGGGAGGGCCCCCTGGGGACCTTTGGGGGTCCACGGGGGAGGCAGGCACAGTCCTTACTGTTGGCTTTTCTCTTGAGGCGTTGTCCTGCAGACCAGGCCATCTCCCTGTTCTCAGGCCCTGGGCTGGTCACCTGGGTCCACGTTCTGGGTTGTCCCAGCCCAGTGGCAACAGGGAACGTGACACATTTTCTGCAGAAGGAAGTTTAGTGTGACTCTGCCAAAGAACTTGGAAGGAGGCAGTGGCTAGGGGTGAGGTCAGAGGAGAGTAGGGGAGTCGGGGGGAGCCAGGTCAGGGGCTGGACTTTTTCCTGAGGGCAGTGAGGAATGGAGTGGCTCCATCAGCTCTGCAGTTTGGAGCGTGGATGGAAGGATGTGAAGCTGAAGGCCCAGAGGTTGGTAAGGAGGCTGCTGTCATCCGACAAGGGACCTATGAGAGGCTGTGGATGGAAGCTTTGCTTAGGCCTGTGTTCACCAGCTCTGATCCCATGATAAGCTGTTTGGTGGGGGCACGCTGAATGTTGTAGATCCTGGGAGTCTGTAGCATCCACCCTCAGCATCAGGATGGAGCCTGCATGGTCCTGCGAGGCAGAGTCATTTCATGTGCTGGGAGCCATGCACCTCATTGGTCCCTTTCATCCTGGTCCCTCTGGGATACAGGTTCTTCCCATCACCTCACTACAGAGCCCAAGTTCTTCTAGGCTGTTAATAACTTAGGACCCTACACAACTCGAGCCAGAGAGACTCCACCAGGATGGGCATCTGCTGCCCCAGGTGCAGCCACATCTTCATGCAAGCATGAAATTCACAAGATGGATAAAAATCTCAACACAAGGAAAAGTGCTTTTGTTGTTTTCTATGACTCCACTCGGGCTTCCCAGGTGACACTAGTGGTAAAGAACCCTCCTGCCAACGCAGGAGACATAAGAAACGCAGGTTTGATCCATTGGTCAGGAAGATCCCCTGGAGGAGGGTGTGGTAACACACTCCAGTATCCTTGCCTGGAGAACCCCATGGACAGAGCAGGCTGGCAGGCTAAGCAGGCTATAGTCCATGGGGTCGCAAAGAGCTGGACATGACTGAAGCAGCATAGCACACACACACATGACCACCTATTTCTGACATTGAGTCCCTGTTCATAAAGGTGGGCAAAACTTAGTCTTTCTTGGGGATCCTGCCCATCAACAGAAAGCCAGGGAATCCCACCCAGAGCCAAGCCTGGGAAGTCTGGTCATCAGTGTTTGGTCCACACATGTTGTTGTTCAGTCGCTCAGTCGTGTCTGACTCTTTGTGACCCAATGGACTGCAGCACGCCAGGCTTCCCTGTCCTTCATTATCTCCTGGAGTTTGCTCAAACTCATGTCCATCGAGTCGGTGAGGCCATTCAACCATCTCATCCTCTGTCGTCCCCTTCTCCTCCTGCCCTCAATCTTTCCCAGCATCAGGGTCTTTTCCAGTGAACTGGCTCTTCACATCAGGTGGCCAAAGTGTTGGAGCTTCAGCTTCAGCATCAGTCCTTCCAATGAGTATTCAGGGTTGATTTCCTTCCGGATTGACTGGTTGGATCTCCTAGCTGTCCAAGGGCCTCTCAAGAGTCTCCTCCAGCACCGCAGTTCAGAAGCATCGCACGTGCTCCTGGGCCACTGCTGCCGCCACACAGCTGGACGCAGGGAGCTTGAGGAGACTGCTCGGGGCCCCCGAGCGCTCCCACCCAGGCAGCCATTTCTCTCCAGAGACCTGGGTCTTGTAGTTGCTCCAGCAGTGGCACCAGGAAGCAGGACCCACCTGCTGGCCCTGCCAGGCGCCCGCCACCCCAAGCCCCTTCCTGTTGGGTGAAGAAAGTCCTGGTCCACAGCATCCGCTTCCTCCCCAGGGCGCTCTGCCCAGTCCTCCTTCAACGCTTGCTCCTCACCAATGCTCTCGACTCCTCTAAGCACTTAGACTTTTGAAAACCAAATGGAGAAAGAGTTCTAGGCTGATGTCTTTTCTGCCCCAGCACATCGTTCATACAGGCTGTGAATGTGGAGCTGGCTGCTGCCCAAGTGGAGGGGAAAGTTGGGACCAAGTACATGGAGGAAAATGGGTCCTTTGATGCTCCTGGCCACAGCTGGGACATACTGTAGAGCAGCAGTGTCTTCAGGCAGCGTGTGGAGCTGGGTGTGTGATATGACCTGGCTTGGAGGAAGTCGTGGGCAGCTCTAAGATCTCAGAAGCAAGGGCACATTTATAGGACATAGGACCCGGCAGTGGGGATATATAAAAAGGTGGAGTCAGGACATAATTCCAGCGTCTGGAAGCATTGCAAACACATACAACTTCAAGGTAAAGTTGCAAAATCTTGACCCAGGAATCCCAGGATTCCGAAGGTTTGGGTTTGTGGTGTCTGTGCAGGCAGGTCTGGGCAGCTCCCACAAAATACACCAGATGGACCCCACTTAGTTCTCCTTGGCCTGTCAGAGCTGGGGAGCCTTCTAATCAAGCCCGAGGAGCTGCCCAGGCAACTACCTGCCTCATGTGGGACCTCAGGCAGGCCCCACGTCCCATCCCAACCCATGGCTGCAGGCCTCCCTCTTGAAACCCCAGCGTCCCAGCCACCCGGTGAGAACTTTGTTCTAGCTCGTGCCAGGTCCTCTGTAGGCTTGTGGGTAGTGATAGCAGAAGGGTTTGGAGTTTTATTAAGATTCCCAGGGTCTCTCCCAGGAGAATTCCCATGGATTTTCTTGGACCCAATAAATACATGTGCATGTAATTTTTTAAAACGAAAATTTCGTTTTGGAGTAATGTTAGATTTATGGAAAAGTTACAAAGATAACACACAGAATTCCTATATGTTCCTAATCCAGTTTCCCTAGTGTTGTCATCTTACCCTGCCACTGGATGCTTGTCAACACTAAAATTAACTTTGATGCATTTTCATTATCTATACCACACACTTTTAAAAATTTCACCAATTAATTTTTTCCNTTAATTTCAAGGCTGCAGTCACCATCTGCAGTGATTTTGGAGCCCGGGAAAATAAAGTCTGTCACTGTTTCCATTGTTTCCCCATCTATTTGCCATGAAGTGATGGGACCAGATGCCATGATCTTTGTTTTTTGCTCTTTACTATCTCACTGTAAGTAGGCTGCCCAAGACCATCTTGGGCTACATGTCTTGTCTTGGCATAATTGTTCTTAGCATCTCCCTTTCACTGTGAAAATATCCTAATGTGGACAATAAGTAATATGTCATATTCATTTGTTCCACACCACTAAACACCACCTGAAACTTAGTGACTTAAAGCAGCAGTCGTTGTTTGCTCCTCATGCTTCTGTGAGCCAGCTGGGCAGTCTCCCCTGGCTGGGGCTCGATGGTCCAGGGTGGCCTTGCTCCTGTGTCTGGAGCCTTGGGCGGGGCAGCTGGGGCCTCTCACCACTTGCTGTCTCACCCCCCAGGAGGCTAATCCAGGCTTGGAGGCCTGGTGGTGGTGCTGGTGCTGGCAGAAGGGCTCCCTGCAACAAGAGAGGGCACGCAGAACTCTCAAGCCTCTGCTGGGGCTGGTGAATATGCTGAGGCATACTTACTGGTGTCTCATTCATGGGCCAAAGCAAGTCTCGTGGCCAAGCCCAGAACCTGGAATGGGGAAATAAACTCAATCTGCCGGGGGGAGGAACTAACAATATTGATGATTTTTCAATCCGCCAAATTCTTTTTAGTGACTACAGTAAGGAATTCATGTATTTTATTTAAGAAATTCCCTATTGTTGGATATGAATGTTGTTTTTTATCTTTTGAGTGTTTATAAACAGAACTGTTAAGCAACTGTCTTAATGCATAATCTTTGTATATATTTTATATTGTCTCTGATTGGGTTCCTTGAAGTGGATTCCTGGGTTGTGTGATATAAACCATTTTTTTTCCCCATTAGGAAAATTCAATTATATTTTCTAAGTAACAGGCTCACTGATATTAATAGACCTTTTCATGACATATGTTTTGGCACCAGAAGATCCCCAACAAGTCATGTATTTCTTCAGCATCTGTGTAGATACTGCTCTGGACCATTGTTCCTTGAAGATGCTACCAGTCTTGGTCAGTGAGTGTTTTACTCAAGCGTGGCTTACGTGTCACCTTCCTTCCCCAGTGACCTCCTGCCCCCCAATTACAGCAAAGCTCAGCTGCTGGAATGGCGTTCTTCTCTCAACTCGTTGAACAAGCACGTCGGTGAGCGAGGTCTGTGGGATCCTACTCGGGTCTCTCCAGAGCTCTGTTGAAGCAGAAGCTTTGGAGCAGTTTCCGTCTGTTGGCCAGTTGTTTATGTCAGGGTCTATTACAAACTCAGAAACAGGTGGCAGGTCACTCCTGGGGAAGATGGGTGGGGGCGTGGAGGGAAGAGTAGGCTCTGGGGGTCCATATCGGATCCCTAGACCTTATGTGGAAGAGCCCCCCTCCTCTCACCACCTGCCACGTCCCTGCCTAGCCCACAGCCATGGCAGCCCCACGCTCAGAGCCCTGACCACAGAATGAGCTAGAGGGGTGGCTCCCAGGCCAGATCTGGGTGTGAGGCACGCTGTGCCTGCTCTGTGACCTCGAGGAAGTCATGGCCTCTCAGTCTCACATTCCTCTTCCATAAAGTGGGGATCTCAGGAGTAATAGAGATACCTACCCTGTGAGGTTCATGTAAGAAACACATACAGTCCTATGGTCCGGTCATAGTTCAGTGCCTGGCTGATTTGGTGCTGAAGAATAAATGGTGATGTTTAGAAATTCTCTGTAACCAGAGTCCTCACACTCCAACCCATCTTTGGTAAATAAGTTTCCCCGGGACACCGCTCTGCTCATGTTCATGTGCTGTCTCTGGCTGCGTCTGCTCTGTAACAGCAGAAATGAGTGGTTGCGGCAGAGACTGTATGGATCTCAAAGCTGGAAATATTTACTATCGAGCAGAGTTTGCCAAGCCTTCCTGTAGAATGTATATAATACTTTATCTCCTTTGAGATGAGCTGGGGAAGTCAGTGGTGTCATTGCCTCCTGTGGTGGAGAGAGATTCAGAGGCACAGAGGGCTAAAGCATCCTGCTCAGGGTCCACAGCCAAGGGCATGTCACAGCTGGACTTGACCTGGCTGCTTTGGTGAGCGGTACCCACCACTGCGCCCAGGACTCTCAGGCTTGTAATTCTAGAGATATTGTGACTGTATTATAACATCAGAGGTGAGAGCCCTGAGACCCTACATAACAGCAGTGGCTGCCATTCATTGGGCACCGCCTAGGAACAAGCAGGGTGCTGGGCCCTGGTAACCGCAGAGTAGGTCTCTCCAGACCACGCAGGATGTTAGAGCACGGGGTGGGCGGGTGAAGCTGCTTTCATTGGGATTTGGGGCAGAGCCTGGTTGAGGGTTATGTGAGACCTTGGCCAATGAAGTGACCGTCCAGTTGAAACCTGCAAGGCGAGTACAAGTTAGACCCGTCCAGGGGTCAGGGTGGCTTTCCAAGCCAGAAGGCTAGTGTGTGGGGAGGCTGGGAGGCCAGACAGAGCCGGGCCTTTGGGGGACAAGAGAAGAGGCCAAAGGGCCAGGCTGTGCTGGCCACGTGGCCGCGTGTAGGAGGCTGAACTTCATCCTGAAGGCAGTGGGAACCCGGTGGAAGGTTCCGAGCTGGGAGTGATAAGGTGGACGGGGGGCAGATCAGAGGGGAACAGGAACAGAAGCACAGAAACCCTGGAGAGGGGGGCTTCATCACAGTGACTTCCTAGGAGGGGTGCGGATGTGCGGCCTAGGTGGTGGCCCTGGAGATGGCAGGAACCAGCTTTATGGCCTCTCGCCACCAGTTCCACACCTACCCTCCCTGGGGTCCTCACTGGCCCCTAACCTGCCCTCCTCCCCAGCTCTTGTCAGGGAGCAGCCACCACACCATCTCTGGGTCATCTTTCAGTTTCTAGAAGAGGCAGGAGCATTAAACTTCAGTTCCTTACCTTAGTCACCAAGAGTCACACTGTGGTGACTGTAAACCAGAAACGGCAGGGAGGAGGAAGAGGAGAAAGCCCAGCCAGCCACATCTGGATGCTCTGCCAGTCCCATCACTTCTTAGGGGACTCCTCCCAGACGTGATCTGTAAATGCTGTTAATTCGCATCTGGTTACTGCTCTGTCGCTCAGTACCGCTACCCCGAAAGAGTTGCGTCAGCCTTGAAACCGAGTCGGGGGTCGGAATCAGAACAGAAAACTGTGGTTGCTCGTTTGAGGTCCTTGGGGTGTTGAGGACATTGAGGTGAGGGAGACAGCACCCCCTGATGTAAATGGCCCCCGCTCTGGAGGCACTTTGCTGGGGAAAAGCCACTTCCCGAGAGGTGGGAAACCCCTCCTCCCGACCTGCCCTCTTCTGGAAGAGCTGCTGACGTGTTTTTTTTTCCCCACCCGTGGAGACACCCACCACATGGACTGCATGATGCGGATCCGCTTGCAGTATGAGAAGGTCTGGCAGGAGTGCCTCGCCCAAGTGCAGACCTGCAGGGTGGGTGTCCCTCCCGGCCCTGCCCCGTCCCCCCTGCAGCCCCAGCCTTCCCTCCGCCTTGGTGTCTGGCCATTCCGAAGCTGTTCCCTCAGCCTGGACTCCCTCCTCCCCAGCTGTTCCCACCTACCCCTCCATGGCCCCCAACCTGACCGCCTCCAGGCAGCCTTCCTTGACCCCACAGGCAAAATGTAGCACTCTGATCACCTCAGCCTTCACCCTTGACCCTCTGTATCACTTGACTGTATTTATTCAGTGGGGCTGATGTCATGGGAGTTATCCCACCAATTCCCTTTCATAAACACTGGTGCCATTGCTGTCACACCCAACTTCACTCTCTACGGCCAGCCTCTGTCCTTCACCCACCCGCCTCTGTTAGATTGTGAGACAGTGAGACCTCCCACAGCCCCCTTCAATGCCCAGGCCTGGTTTCCTGAGCTATGAGGACATATTGTGTCAAAAGGCCCCTTCCCTCCCTCCTTTGTAAGACTGTTTAGATGAAAATCCCCCACACTAATCATTTTGAAGACGGTCTAACATGCCCACTGTGGCTGTCGGAGTCTCCAGGCCGTGACGGTCTTGCCTGTAGGCCCCAAGACGTGCCTGCTGCCCCAGCCCTCACACCTGTGTCTGTCAAGCTTTGGCTCTCTGCCATCAGGACTCTGAACAGAGTTCAAGGGAGCAGAAGGCTTTCCAGTGCACTCCATCCTTCGGGTGCTGTGGTCCCTGGGGGCTGTGCCACTCTCTTGCACCTGTCATCAGATCCTGCAAGGTCCTACAGGGTGGGTGTCGCTGGCTCTATCTGAAGATGAGAAGACCAGTTTGCAAAAGATCCAGGGGCTGTCCCAGTCCACAGGGGCCTGCTTGCTCTGGGGCCTTCGGGGCCATCACATGCCTCCTAGTCAGCCCTTTAGAGACATCAGACCTTAGGAGCAAAGCCTGGAGGGAAGCCTTGTGCTCCAGAGAGCCTCCCCAAGACCACGCCCCCAGCACTCACCTCCTCCCTCACCCCTGCCCTTGGGGCTCCACGGCCCTGCGGCCCTAGAGTCGGTTCCTTGTGCCCCTGCTCACGGCCCTCCGCTGGGCACGTGCAGGGTGTGAGTGCAGAGCTCACCACGTACCCCGGAAGCACTTTGAGCCTGACAGAGGGTGCCTGATGTTCCTGGGCAGCAGCATTGGAAGTGTACAACTGGAGACACGTTTCATGTTTTATAATAATTGGGGGAGGTTGATTTATTCTAAGTTTTGTGCATAAGTCAACTCTATATTAATACAGAGAACTGGCTTTCCAGTTGGCATAACTCCAGACAGGAAAGGGGAGGCCTGCTGAGGGTGTGCAGCAGCAATGCTGAGGGTGTGTAGGATGGCAGTTTATGCCTGTAGGGTTGGAAGTAGGAGAGTTCAGGTCGCAGGCCCACCACTTGCCAGGTTTGTGCCCTCCAGCAAGTCCGTTCACTTCTCCCCCAGCTTTAGTTTCCTAATCTGCCAAGGGGGGCTAATGAGAACACCTCTGGAGGAGTCAGTGGCCAGGGGTGGCACTCAGCACCTGGACACAGTGGGCAGATGAAGCTGGCCCGACTGGGCCACTGTGGGGGTTGTTGCCAAGGTTCGTGGAGATGGGTGGGAGGCTGGTCTTGGGGCAGGACCAGTCCTGAGGTGAATCCCCCATCAGTCTAAGCCGGGCTCTGCCTTGTCCCCCTCCAGAAGCAGCTGCTGGACTGGAAGGCCTTCACTGAGGAGGAGGCAGAGAGCCTGGTGAGCCCATCCTTCTTCCAGATGGTGGGAAGTCTCCAGAGCAAGGTGGAGGAGGAGCTGGAGGCCTTGGACGTGCGTAACTGGGGACCTGTGCAGCTGGGGAGTAGGGTGGGGGTCGCCCGGGATGCTGGGCTGTGAGAGGGGTGGGAGTCCAGGGGCTTCCAGCATTCTTGTCGCTGGTGAGTGCCTCCGCCTCGTCATGGCCAGCCCCTCTGGAGCAATTCCCCTGCACCGCCAGGCACTCCAGGCTCACCCCTGGCTCCCCAGCCACCCCCAGACTCCAGTCAAACGCTCTCGGACAGTGAGTGTCCCCCCAGGCCCTTGCCAAATCTGGGTGCTAGAGATCAAAATGCGCAGTTAGCCCGAGTCCCAGATGCCTAGAGTCTGGAGCAGGATTCAGCAGATGTTTCCTGTAAAGGGCCAGGAGGTGAGTATTTTAAGCCCTGTGGGGTGGCAGGTTTCTGACCCAAATTCTCACTCTGCTCATATCACAGAGAAGCAGCCCTAGGCAACACAGAAATAAATGGGTATGGCTATGTTTCAATAAAACTTTATTTCTGGACACTGAAGTTTGAATTTCACCTAATTATTACATGATTGATTATCTTCTTTAGTCTCCCCCCCGCCCCAGCCATTTAAAAACGTAAAATCTGTGCTTAGTTCCCAAGGTTAAACAAAAAATGCAGAGGGCTACATGTAGCTCAAAGGCCATAGTCTGCCAACTCCAGGCCCTTTGAGAGTATAAGAGACACATATGAGAGAGGGAAAAGTGAGACTTCAACAGTAGGCTCCGGTGTTTGGCTCAAGTGCTGTGTCAGAGAGCTCCAAGGACGGAGAGATGCCCAGATCAAAATGGGCATGGCCCACTGGATGCCAGAGTGGTGCCTTTCTCCTTCCAGGCCCCGAACTCCGTCTTCAGTGGACAGGGTACAGTTCTAGAGATGGGACTTCATGTCAGCCAGTCTGAGGGTGTGGCCGTGGACAGACCAGAAATGCTGTCCCAGAAAAGGGAAGGCCGGATGTGAAGATAACCTTGAGGTTATCTTCAGTCCCTGGAGATCTGGGCCTCCACGGGCTGGTGAGGCAGCCCCGCTAGAGGGGCCCTTCTCCTTTCCCTGGGGGCCGGTTGACACTTAAAGGCCCCTCCTCTGGGTTCTGCCCCCGCAGAAATCCTTCGAGATCGTGGCAAAGCAGGCAGAGCAGCAGAGCTCAGACCTCTTCAGCTACTTCCAGGAGGCCGTGAGCCTGTGGGAGACACATCAGAGTGTGCTGCTGACGCAGGAGCTGGAGCTCGAGAAGAGGATGGAGCAGCAACGGCAGAAGGACAGGCGGGAGAACCAGGTGTGGCCCCGGCATCCAGGTGACCCCAGCAGGCGAGGAGCCAAGGGCCACACCCAGACTGTCAGCTGCCCATGGCTCTGCTTGGGGGCCCGTGAATTCAGCTAGCATTCAGATGCAAAAAAAAAAAAAAGAAGTTCATAGTTCACACCATATTTTATTTTTATGTAAAAATAAGCCCCCAGTGTATCTTAGACTCCAATGTAAAACCTCAAGCTATGAAACTTGAGCAGATGAGAAACTGAGGCTCACCCTAGTCATGGAGGCTGGGTGGCAGTAAAGTTCTGCTGGAATTAGGTCTGGACTATGCAGTGAGTCCCAGATCCAGACATGTCTGTGATGGGGCTTGCCTGAGAGACAGACTGGGGGGCATGGAACATCTCCCTCTGGCAGTCATCCTGACCCCCAGGACATGAGCTGGCCCCCACCCACCTGCCTTTACATAGCCGAGCGGTGGAAGGGACGCCCTCAGCATCTGACATCAGGCGTGGCAGTGAGAAGGGGAGTGAGGAACAGGCGTCTCTGGAAGGTGTAAGGGGGGCCAGCCCAGGCAGGGTGAAGGGAAGGGGCATGTCCCTGAGGAGCCCCATCTAAGTGGGGTCATCGGGATTTAAAATAGAGAAGAACAGTCCAGGCAGGGAGAAGCGCCCACAGGCCCAGAGCAGTGAGAGTAAGAATGGTGCTTCTCATGTAGAAAAGCCTGCCTGGGGCACCTGGACCTCATCTCCAGGGGCAGGGTCTCTGCATCTCACATCCTCTCTGGGAGCGCTGGTGACTCACATCTGCTTCCTTCCATTCCTGGTGTGGCTGCCAGGCCCAGGAGGCTCACCTTGACAAGCTCTTGGACCAACTGAGGCAGCAAAGCTATGAGAATAACCTGAAGTCACACCTGGAAAAGGCCAAGGATTTTCTGAAGAATATGAAATGCAGGTAGGCAGACCAGATTCTAGAAGAGGATGGACTAGAATTCATATTCATGGTCAGAGGCTGCCTGCCTGGGAGCCCAGCCTACGGTTGCCTCCAGCTTTAGATCACATTGTGCTACTTTGCAGCTCTGCCCTCGGTCAACACAAAAGCTTTCAAGGAGAATTTTGATCAGAAAAATTTATGGAGGGATGTTTCTGGGTCATGTAGTTTAAAGGTCAAGAGTGTGGGTCCTCCCTGCTTAAATTTTAAAACATACATGCCTTGTTAAAGAAAAAAAAATTTAACCAGTACAAACATATAAGAAATTCTCATTTCTGCCCAACTCATCCATTTTGTGGACATAGACATTTATAAATGTTGGTATATATACACATGTAAAGTGTCTTTAAAATGAGAATTGTTCTATAACTTTGTGTCATTTTTAAATGACCATCCATTTGTTAATATGGATGCTTCATAATGATTTAACCATGCTCTAACTGATAAGCTTTTTAAGACTGGTGCCCGTTTCTCCACATTATAGACAGTTCCCTGTGAACTATCTTGCATCTTTGTGCCCTTGTACAACTAATATTATAAGGGCTGTTCACAGAAATGGGATTGCACTGCCAATTGATTGCAGTACTGAGATTCAGAAGCACATTGTAAGGCAAATAAATACCCCCCGGAACCTTGGCCTTCTGACCTCAGGGACAGATGAAATCTGGGGCCTTGGTTTTGGAGCGTTTGATGGGATGATGTAGGTGAAGTTCTAGGACGGGGTTAGGACTATAGACAGAAAGTGGGAACGCATGTTTATGGAAAGAAGTCTCTCTGTAGGTGTTTTCTAAATACTCTATGAAGAGTAGGTACTGCTTGTATGATCAGGAAAATAGCAGAACAAACCAAGGACTGTTACTGTGAAAGGAAGCCTCCACAGCAGCTCTGCACAAAACTCGAGGCCAGGTGCTCGCCAGCCTCCGTGAGGTCCGCGGCGTGGCTTCTGGCTGGGGTCCCTCGCCCCCAGCTGACCCTCCCACTGACAGTGCTGTCACCTCCCTTCCTCCGAGGTATGAGGCTTTCCATGGCCTCCTGACCGAGGAGGTGATGGGGTACCCAGTGACCGTGCTGAAGGAACTCAGCTCCTATAGCTCCCGCCTCAGCCGACACTTCTGTGTGCGTGAAATCTTTGAACAGGTACGAAAAGGGATACAAAACTCCCAGCTGCTCACCAAGAAGTGAAGAGGAGAGGATGACTTCTAGTTCACATTCGCCTCAATAACCCAGGGGGAGTTAGAGTCTGTGCCAGGATATCAAGGAGTGAGAAACTAAAAGCATCTCCTAAAGAGACTCTTTTTCTCAGACTAGAAGAGGTCAAAGAATCCAGGCCTCAGAATCCAGGCCTCAAGTCTTTAATAGAATTATAATTAAAAGGCTGATTTTATAGGCCTCCGAGTCCTATTCATCCAATTCACCATGCCACATAACCATCCTAAAGTCCAGCTCTGACCTACCCATTCTCCTGCTCAGAAAGCCCTCCCCAGGTCTGCAGCCCCAGCCAAACGCAGCCCATAGTCGCTAGATGACCATGGAGGCCCCCGCATCTGACTCCCGCCCTGACTCCACCTGCTTCAACCAACTCCTCGCCCTTCCTGCACGTGCCACTGCCCCCCACCCCTCCTCACCCTGCTGCTCTGCTGGGATCCCTCTGTCCTACACACCCCAGCCCCCCACACTTCCAGCCACTGCCAGTGACAAGACCCCACCCACCCAGTCTGGCCTCCTCTCCCCTTCTTTACCCCGCCGCCTCTCACTCTCCGAGTGTGCTTGTGCGTGGGTTGTTGGCAAATGCAGGAGTTAAGGGCATCCTCCTGGAAGGTGTCTCCTGTGAGGCAGCTGTGGCCTCCTGTCTTCCGTCCAGCTTTGCCCTCAGCACAGGGTCCTGCACATAATTCAGATGTACTGAATGCTTCCTGGTACGTGCGGGAACACCTGGAGTGTCCTGGTCTGACTCCCAGAGGTGGCTCTTTCCCACACACGCACCCAGAGTTTTGCACGGCCAGGGTGGAAGGTACTTGTGGTGGACTCTGAACCGGGCTCGGGTTTCCAACAGATGTGGGGTTCCCGACTCCTCAGAGAAGCCTCCTCTCAGCAGAGATCCCTGTCCCGATTGCTCGTAAATGCATTTGTGGCACCTTGGTTGAAGTGGAACTCAGGCTGTCCAGAGGTGGAGCTTTGAGATCAGTCTGGTTGCCTGGTTTAAAACGGAGGCGCTCCTGTGGTGGCAGTAACATAGGAAGGACCTGGGTCCATCAGGTTTAAGGGGCTTGTCCACGGTCACACAGCTTGTGAGGAGCTAGAGTTCCAGCCCACTGCTCTCAGTGACACAGTGTTTCCACAACTTCACCGACAGCCAGTGGAACAGGGAATGTGCAGAGTGAAGAGGGGCCCCCAGGTCATGCACATCACGGTCATTGTGTTCATCCAGCGCCACGTGCGGCAGATTCCTGCCCCTTGGATGCATCTCCATATATACTTGCTTGTTCTTTGCTCCAGATCACTACCAAAAATGTCAGAATGAGGGTTTATTCTGCGATTTTCATTGTATGATAAACAAACTTTGCTAACGTGCTTGAGATTAAGGAAAGCTGATCAGGAACGCCCTGCTCACCCCTGTGAAATAAGTGGTCAGGGCCTGCACCAGATGTAGAAGGCAGGGAGGAGGGGGTTTTTCCTTAAAGCAAAGAGACGCCCCGAGAAGTGGCACTTGGAGGAAGGTAGCACTGCGTATTCAGTGTCTGTGTTTCTGCCTCGTAGAACCTGGAGGGAGAAGTCGTTTTCCAGTTGAGGGAACCAGGTAACACTTCTACAATTCAAGTGTGAGTCTCCCCAACTTCACGCTTATGTGTCTGGGGGCTCGGGAGGCCCAACCAGGCTGCACTGGTAACCTGTGTCTTCCTGTGCTTTGGGGCCGATCATCAACAGAACCACATGAAAAGCAGTTGCAGAAGAGAACGGGAAGACGGAGAGGAAAACGAAGGTTCAAAGCAAACATGCGCAAACGTGACAGAAGCGGCAGGAGGAGGGCGGGCTCCCTCAAGCCAGCAGAAGAGACAGAGGAAGAAGAAGATCCAGAGGTTGAGTCCTCCACCACACAAGAGGTGGTCATGAGCCCACAGAAGTCCGTACTGAGTGAAGAGATGGATGAGTCCAGGGAGGACTCTATTCCAGGGCTGGAAGAGATACAGGTTGACAGAGACAGCTCCTTGAGATCACCCCCAAACCAGGCCAGTGTGCTGGTTCACGAAGAAGAAGAGGAAGAGAAGAAGGAGGAGGAGGAGGAGAGGGAGGAGGAGGAGTGGAGGAGCTCGTCTGCGGATGAGGTAGGCCAGCGAAGGTTCGCTCTTGGGTTTGGAACCTGTGCTGTGTTCACTGTCTGCGTCCCTAGCACAAGCCGGGGTCCCCAGTGGGGACCATTAGCCCTAATGGAGACCAGCAGTCTCCTAGGCTGTGTCTAAAGAATAACAAACGTACGCACACTTTTCATTGCTGCCAGCAGAGATCCCGTTTTCACGTCCCAGCAGTACTTTTTAAATTTCACCTTCCTGTCCTCACATCCCATCCTGCAACCGACTCTGTCATCCGCCCGTGACTCTGCCCTGCTCCCGGGTCCTCTGCCTTCCCCCAGCTCCTCTTTATGGCAGAGACCAGCTTAGCCGCCCCGTTCCACCTCTCTCCCCAGTCTCTGGCTGTGTAAGAGCACAGATCCGTATCCAGGTTGGCAGACGGCTGTCCTCAGAGTGCAGGTAAGTGACCTCATATGAACGGATCTCACCCTCAGAGCACATTCAGACTCACAGGACAGAAATGTGAGCTCCATAAGCATGGCATCGCAGAGACTCCTTTCCTGTACCTCTGTGGCAGGATTGGCACATGAGGCCTCTGAACAGGGGCCACAGGCAGGTGCGAGAAAAGAGGGCGGGACACCAAGGATAAAACAGTGACTTGGTGAGGACTCCTGTCTTGGCCTGTTCAGGCTGCTATCACGGAATACCATGGACTGGGTGGCTTATAAACACCAGAGATTGATTTCTCACAGTTTTGGAGTCCGGGAATTCAAGATCCAGGCACTGGCAGCCTCAGTGTCTGATGAGGACCTACTTCTTGGTAATAAACAGCTCTTTTTTTTTTTCTGTGTCCTTACATGGTGGAAGGGGCAAGCTCTCTGATATTTCATTTTTAAGGGCACTACCGCTATTCATGAGGGAGGGCTCTGCCTACTTGCCCTGATCATCTCCCAAAGTCCACCTCCAAATACCAACACACTGGGGATATGAATTTTGGAGAGGCACCAACATTCAGTCTATGGCAACCATGCAGCCATTATTCAGCTCCAGCCAGTGATGCCATTTGGGAATGCAGACTCAGAATTGCCAGATTTTCTGATTTTTAAGAGAAATCAGAAATCCAGATTTTTAGGTGGCATTTCCCTATTTTAAAAGCATTATATGGGCAAAATATAAACATAGACAACTTTCATCCCACAGGTTTACAACCTCTGATGTCGAAGGACCTATGGTAAAGATTACCAAGTCTGTTCAATGACGCCGAGTTTAAAGTCTTGTTTTCTGCTTAGGTCAAAGCCCAGGAGGAGAGTCTAGGGGAGATCTCCCAGGAGGAGATGGAGTTCTTCACAACCTCTAGTGGGAACACTTACTTTGTTTTCCTACCCCTGAAACAAGAAGAGAACAGCAAGACACCCCATTCCAACCTTCCTGCCATTTTCTTCAAGGACAGTTCCAGTGCCAGGGTCTTAGAAGAAGTGATCATTCCATCCAGACTAGTTTTAGAGATTAAGAAACAGTGAGTGAAAATCCCTTTTATTCTCATTCTCTTTGAGTTTTATTAACAAGCTGAAATATAATAACGAAAGATTGGACTAGTTTCAGATGGAAAAGAAAGCAAATACCATATGCTAACACATATGTATGAAATCTAGAAAGACAGTACTGATTTACCTATTTGCAGGGGGCAGCAAGCATTCTAACTTCTGAATTAGTTCTGCTTGTTTGTGAATTTTATTTAAATGGAATCATATAGAGTGTATTCTTTTATATCCAGCTTCCCCTGGTGAGCATGTGTATATATTTCTGTTAGATATATAAGTAAGAGTGGGTTACTGGGAAGTTGACTTATATGTGTGTGTCCATCTTGAGGAGATGTGACCAAAAGATACTACCAAAGAGTTTTCAAAAGTGGTTTGTTTTAACAGTTTGCAGCAATGTATGAGAGTCCAGTTGCTCCATATCCTCACTTGGTATTTATTGTCGGTGGTTTTTATTTTAGGCACTCTGGTGTGTGTGTGTAGTGGTGCTTCATTTTCCTGACGAATAACAATGTCGTGCGCCTTGTTATATACTTATTGGCCATTTAATCACCTTTCTGTGAAATGCCTCATTAAATTCTTTGCTTATTTGTGGTAGATTACCTATATTTTTTCTTACTGATTTAAGTGAGTTAGTTGCCTGCCTTAGACCAGGGTTTTTTTGTTAGTTAAACACATCGTGAATGTTCGTACCTTCTCTGTGCTTGTCTTTTTTTTTACTCTTGTAAAGATAGCTTTTGCCAGATATCTTTTTAGTAAGGTCTTAGTCATCAATTTTTCCACTAGGGTTAGTGTGATTTCTGTCTTCTCTAAGAAATCTTTGCTTGCCCCAAGGTCATGAAAATATTCTCCTGTGTTATCTACCAAAAATGTTATAAACTTTCACAGTTAGATGTACAATTCAGCTGGAATTGATACTTGCTTACGTGTGCGGTAGGAGTCAAATTCACTTCTGTCCTGTGTGAATAGCCAGTTAAGGCCAGGCCATTTGAGAAGACTCCTCTCTCTCCACTGCCCTGCCAGGCCTCCCCTGACTGATGGTGCGTGTGCCATGTACTCGGTCATGTCCAGCTCTCTGCTGCCCACCAGGCTTATCTGTTCATGGACTTTTCCAGGCAAGAATATTTGCCTGCGAGTGGGTTGCCATTTCCTACTCCAGAGGATCTTCCTGATGCAGGGACCCCGACTGATTACCATAGCTTATACTAAGTCTTACTATCTGGTTGTGTAAGTCCTCCAGACTTGACTTCTCCAGAATTGTCTTTACTATCCTTGGCCCTTTTCTATTTCTATATAAATTTGAAATCAGCTCATCAGTTTCTGTAAGAAGACATCTGCTGAGCTTTTAATTGTTATAGAATCTATAGATACATTTGGAGAGAACCAGCATCTTGACAATACATAGCCAAGAAAATCATGCTGCATTTCTAACAGGATGAAACGATCAACTAGCAAAAATATTTGCAGTTCACATCTCAGCCAAAGGACCTTGTGTTCCCAATATATAAAGTGCTCCTAGAAATTAACAAGAAAAAGCGCAACTACATCCTAGAGTGGTGGGCAAAAGATATTAGTGGATGGTATAGATAGAAAAAGAACTTTAATAGTCTTGAACTCATAAAAATATGCTCAGTCTCAGTCATAATATGACAAAATTGTCAGATTCAAGGGTTTGACAATACAGTCTGAAGCTATGGAGAAACTGTTGTTCAGTCACTACATCGTGTCTGACTTTACAGACCTGTCTGCAGCACGCCAGACTCCTCTGTCCTCCACTATCTCCCAGAATTTGCTCAAATTCATGTCCAGTGAGTCAGCGATGCTATCTAACCATCTCAGCCTCTTCCTCCCCCTTCTTTTACCTTCAGTCTTTCCCAGCATCAGGTCTTTTTGATGAGTCGCTATTTGCACCAGGGGGCCAAAGTATTGGCGCTTCAGCTTCAGCATCAGTCCTTCCAATGAGGATTCAGGGTTGATTTCCTTTAGGATTGACTGGTTTGATCTCCTTGCTGTCCAAGGGACTCTTATGAGTCTTTTCTAGCACCATAATTTGAAAGCATCAATTCTTCAGCACTCAGCCTTGTTTATGGTCCAACTCACACCTGTACATGACTACTTGAAAAATCTTTGACTGTACGGACCTTTGGCAGCCCAGTGATATCTCTGCTTTTTAATACGCTGTCTGAATTTGTCATAGATTTTTCTTCCAGGGAGCAGGCATCTTTTATTTTC